AAATAGCTGCATTGTATGCTGGAATTCTGATTTGACTCACAGTGAGTCGCTTGCCTCATTAATAGAGGATTACCATACCTCGACAGGGCAACAGAGGCTCCGCCAACGTTGGAAAACCTTGACTGTCACCTTAGAATGACGCCGTTCCGCAAAACTGAACTTGGATTTTGATAATTCAGAGACGGAAGATGATAGTCATCAGCGTGCGGAGATCTTCACAACCTAGTCTGCTTTCCACTGTAGACAAAAAACTTTTCCAACTGTTGCCAACACCTTAGAGGATTTCATGACAGGCACTGGATAAAACTATCTTTAACTAGCGCGCCATCAAGGTTTCAAAGTTTTATGATGTAACGATTTTGAGACAGACTGAGAAATTTCACATCCCGAACTTACTTACCTCCCCATCGCGACTGATCGCTGATCGACTGAGTGAGTAGAATTTGGTGGGTCTTTGCGAATGACATTCGTTGAATGCCATACTACGCTCCGTCATGAACAACGAGGAAAAGAAGTACGTAAACCCTATCAAAACACGTAGACAACGAGGCACCATGCTCTGAAATGACGAGTCCTCCAAAACCCAGACCGTCTCAGATGACACGTTTACGTACAACCTGAATTGGAACTGCTGTTGGAAGTCACATCCCAGCGGAATCCGCTAAGCGAATAATGACAAATGTTGCTCCATCCACCCTTTCATTGAAAAGCACAAATCCTGATCTGTTTCCGTTGTTACACGAAATCCACTGATTCTTATTGTTGTTGTGTAGAACAGTCGCAATGAGAAAAGAAAGTAACAGACTACCGCTGAATAAAGCAGCATCTTTTCTACCATAATCCATCGATTCATCACCAGAATGATAATAACGACAGTAACAAATGAATGTTATTTACTGGCAACGAGGGAAGTTGCGGCCAGCAGCGTAGGTGGCCTTATCACCGAGCTCCTCCTCAATACGCATAAGCTGGTTGTACTTGCAAAGACGCTCAGTACGGCAGGGGGCACCAGTCTTGATTTGGCAAGTGCCAAGACCAGTGACAAGATCGGCGATGAAGGTATCCTCAGTCTCACCGGAACGATGGGAAACCATGACGGTCCAGCCGGCGTTAACGGCCATATTGTTGGCCTCGATAGACTCGGTGATTGAACCTATCTGGTTAACCTTGAGAAGAAGGGCGTTCACAGACTTCTCGTTGATACCCTTTTGGATACGCTTGGGGTTGGTAACAAGAAGATCATCACCGACAATCTGGATCTCCTTACCGTCCTTGGCGGTGAACTTGGCGAAGGTCGCCCAATCGTTCTCATCGAAGGGATCCTCAATGAAGACGAAAGGATACTTGTTCATAAGATCCTCCTGGTACTTGATGAACTCATCACCGGTCAGCTCGGCATCGGCATGAGGCTCGGGGTTCTTGAAGTCGAGGTCATACTTGCCAGTCTTGGCATCATAGATCTCAGAGGCAGCGAAATCGCAACCAATACGGCAGGTATCCTCATGGCCAGACTTCTTGATGGCCTCTAAGAGGACGGAGAGGGCCTCATCCATGTCTTGAATATTGGGGGCGAATCCACCCTCATCACCGACGTTGGTGGCGTCCTGACCGTACTTGGCCTTGATCACCGACTTGAGCTCATGATAGACCTCAGAGGCGATCCTGATAGCCTCGTGAATGGAGGAAGC